CCATCTTCCCTCAGATTATTATACATAATTGTGTCTGTAGCAGATCTCAGTGGGCACTGTAATGGGATACACTATCAGGGACAGTACTGTAGATTACAATCTGTTGGTTGAAATTAATATTATGTAAACAAAGATAAATAGTACTTAGTGGTCCCTGCATTAGGTGTTTGATGAGCCCCATTAACATGGACTTTTTAAGTTAATACTGTCACTTCTGTAGGGATCACGTGACAATGAGGAGACTGAAGCATTGTCCCCCACTGATCCTAATGGACCAAACACAGAGGAGGTAAACAGAGGAACAAGAACTCTTTGATTCTCATGGTTCCTGTCATTTACCCCATTTTGGATCCAAGGACACATTTACCTGGGAATTTTTACAACGTATTTCAAAAGAATACGGAAGCTAGCTTTATAAAATTTGCATGAAAGTTGGAGTATTTCAGATAAAATTGCTGGAATGTAAACCTTTAATCAACTAGTCCTGTAAGCTGGTAGATAAATACCATTTCATGGTGACTTGCTTGATGGAAAAAAGGAAAGAAAAATGACTAACACTTTTGTAGATATCACAAAATCAGTAAATGGAGTAGTAAATATTTATTTATTCATTTTCCACCGCTTATCCGGGGTCAGATACTGCTAACAGCAGTTTAAGGGCTGGTTCATACTTCTCCACACATGCACAACACTCATGCAACTGCACTGCGAATATGGACACAGAAACGTTCATACTGCTCCAGTCAAGCCTCACACTTTGCAAATGTACTCAACATTCCATAGAGGAAACACATTGTACGCATGTGCATGTTCTGTACTTGCTACTGTAGCCAGGGGGACTACCCCAGGGATTGGCTAGTAGAGTAACGGGTACAGCTGTGGGTAATTTCGCCTAGCCCCCAACTATTTAAGAGCAGGCACCTTGACAGACAGCTAAGTGTTTGGAGTCTTTGAATTACCAGGTACCTGGTTAGTGGTGACTGCTACATAAGAACAACTGGTATGTGTGCTTGTTTTTTTAAAAAATGTTTTAACATGACTTAATGATCTAGTGTTTTATTCTTGGTATTGGTAACTACTGCAACAGACAGGAAGCATTGTAAACGAAGTAGATAAATGACAGTCTTCAGCTCCTTCATGTTTATTGTGACACATCCTTTTTAAGCTTGACTACCTGTTTCTGTAATTACCCCACTGCTAATTACATCTGAAGAGAAAATCATTAAGGTGGCAGTAAAGTTATGGTGTATTTGTCACCTGACTTTGCCTTGTGCAGCCATAGAAATGGCAGCTTTATCCCCAGCCTGTTATTCCCTTCAGTTTGCACATTTACATGTATCTGTATGAATACCAGGCTACTAGAATCAGACTATTATCCCTCTCAGTGATCTGGTTCCCCCAAGGTGTCCTGCCATCAGGTTAGAGTGACTCACCTGGAATAACACGTCCCAGCTGCTCCTCAACACTCAGCTGTGTTATCAAGGCTGTGTTTGTGAGGGCAGATGGACAGGATACTGCAGCATATCCCCCTGCTCACACTGTACCTGACAGGTTTATAGTGTCCCCTGTCCCGTCTCCAATCAGACCCTGTCCACATCCCGAGTCCCAGAGCGTCTGAGCTACAGTCCTTGAAGACTCACCGTAGTCTGGTAGGTCCTGGCTGGAGAGGGGAAGAGCTGCAGGTGGTGGAGCTGCAGAGATCCAAGTGGTGACGTCTCTGTTCCCGATTTGACACCCCTACTGGACTGTCCCAGGGTCCCACACTCCTGCTCCGGTGCCCCTGTGGTGCTCAGTGGGTCAATGTGGGATTGAGGGAAGAGCCGTGCAGGGAGCAGGCAGGCAGTTTCCGGACAGCGGCTCCATCGTCAGCCTGGGACATGCAGCTCTGTGCAGTGTCCTGTTGCTGGGATGCCTGGTTAGAAGAGCCCGCTGCTGGCTGACTTGCAGGGCGGCGAGCTGACGGAGCAGCGGTGAGCCTCCATGGCCTCTCTGGTGTGAGTCTGTTCCCGGGTTTAGACAGTCTGTTCGGGATGGAGAGCAAAGCAACATGAGGAGGGGAGGAAGGACCAGGGAGTGGAAGGAAAACAAAAACATCCTGGAAAGGACTGTTACTGAAGTCGGACTTCAGGCTCTGGGTGTGATTTTCCTGGCAGAACAAAAACATAAATAAAGACAGGAAATAAGGCACAAGTGACCTGAACACCATCTGAACTGACATCCACACCCCTGCAACTTACACCATTGTAGTTTAATTAATATTCGTGAGTAGCTATAATATAATATAACAACCTGACATCACCACAGAGGACCAGGGCCGCGTGCCGCTGAGGTTAAACATCTGCAGCACAGTCGACACATTAGCCTTTGTATTGTAAATGGAAGATGAAGGTGATGTGATTAACACCAGGAAAACTTAACTATGTTGATCTCTTTAAGAGATAAATATTTTGTACTGTATTTGCACTGTAGTATGTTTGATGTTGCTGCTCTTTGCACCTCCAGGTTATTAGTAAAGCTCATCTATACGGCATCCTAACCCACTGAGCCACACACCTCCCCCAAAGAACAGCACTGAACATGAGGGTTGGGGAGTCCCACACACCCACAGATGGAGGAGCCCCCACCGCGCAAAAACGCATCAATGTGGAGAAAAGAAAATTTCAGGAAAAATGGAGCAGTTCTCACTGCGTTGTTCCTCGCAGATGAGATAAAGTGTTGTGTTTGATCTGTAAGCAGCTTAATTCAGTGCTCAGGGAGCTTAATATAAAACATCATTATGACACCCATCATCAGTCATACAGTAAGTTACTTGGTGATGAATACAAAAATAAATCTGAACAGCTAAAACAGGGCAGCTAACAGTCAGTTTTCACTGATCCAGTGAGGATGATGGAGTGCCTGTTTTGTTTGGGTATTTGTTATCTTTGATAGATTGCTTGCTTTAGATTAATTTATGGCTAAATTTAGTTGTGCAACTTATTTACAGTTTTTTCCAATCATTTTAACGCATGTCTCAATACCATGTCCACTTTTTCACAACACTTAACACATGCACCATACCATTGGACCATGTGAGCTAAACTATGTATATGTTTGCATTGCTTTGACACAATATGCATTCAATCAGCACTTCCCCCAAATTTCATGAATACTTCTCTCAGTCAGTGTTCGCCACCAGCAANTGATCCTTAAACGGACAGCAGTAAAACAGCAAGTGAGAATAATCTAACACACTGACGGAGGGGCAAAGAGATTATGAGACGGACTGCGAGGTTTAGTTTGTAGCAGACTCTGCGTGATCCTTAAAAGGACAACGGTAAAACAGTGAGCGAGAATAAACTCACTCACACACATAGATGGGGGAGACGAAAACGGATACAGGCAATAGAGACGCCGCAATGAGTCGTACTCCGGAAACTTTTTTTTTTTTTTCCGGTTCGGCAAAATAAATTAAAAAAAAAAACGAAATACAGAATAACCTTTACTTTCAATTCCACCTACGTAACATTCCGGTTCCACAGGCAGGTTCTCAAAAGCACCAAGTGAGAACCAGCCTAGCACCATCACTAGCATCAGCTCCGTGTTGATGGAAACGAGGCAAAACATGCAAAAAGTACATTCAGGGCCTCAGCTGATGAAACCCTGTTTTTGGAATGTTTTGGCATCATTTAAGAGGCTTAATAAAAACTCCAGAATTGCACAAACTATGCAGAATTAAGGTAACTGTCGTGCAGCATTTGGGCCGTGTATGTCTCTGAGTTACTCTGAGCTCCTTCCTCTGACCCGCCGTAATCTTGTAACCCTCTCGTTTGTGTGTCAGTGCGTACTGTGGGGGCCTGTGGCTGGCCTCAGTCTGCGTGATGTGCAAGATGGCCCGGCTGCTGGACAGAGAATCCGTGTACTGGCGCTACAGGGACGTGCTGGACAGGGGGAGTGCTGCCTTTGACGAGCTGTTATGGAACGGTGAGCTGGGGTGGGGCACGATTGGTGGATGTGGAAATGTTGAGGTGAGTGGGCGGGGCAGGGTGGTGGGGAGGGTATGGCCATAGATAGCTGGGTGGGGTTGGGTTAGGGTTAGGCAGTCCTAGTGAGGATGGATGGGGCGTGCTGATTGGGTGGGTTACAATATCATGTTTATCGTCCTGAGTGGAGCTGTGTAGTTATCCTAAAGTTAGGAGTTTCAGATTTTGTAAAGTTAGGAGGTTTGTGTAATGCACTTTTCCTGTCTTAAGTTAGGATAGGAACAATAACTTGGGACCTGTTCCTCTGTAATGGGTTTTTTCCTAAATCATATCCTTCCTCTAGTTACCATGGTTACAAACAGTTAAGATGGAACAGACAAAACAAAATGACAATTCAATCAACTAGGCAAGATCTTTCTGTTGTGACTTAGTGTCACAACTAGTGCAACCAGTCAGATGTTATGCTTTGTTTAGAGTCAGCCCATTGAGTTTAATGGGTGACTTTGACAGATAATTTTAATGGTTGCTGGTATCATTGAGATTGTTTGAATTACAATCATTTAAATAATCATTTGAATGACAGTATAAAATGTAGTATAAATGATTGTTTAAATTATATTAATAATTTGAATATCGTCACAAAGCCCCCTCCTTTCTTTTCTAAAACTTATTCTTTGCCTGACTCCTTTGAAATGTTTTTTATGGACAACAGAGTAATGAACAAGGTTTAGTTTTCATGACAAATAATTAATAATGGCTGGTGGTCCAGCTGTCGCGTAAGAGCCCAGAGTTCACTTACAAAAAGATCTAGGAGAAACATACAAATGGCCCTGAGGTCACTTCAGGGAAATCCCCACTGTCCCAGCCTGTGATATTAGCGCAGTGTGTAACCCATGAGGATGAATACGATTCCCAGTCCCACTTCACCTCAGCCTGTGATATTAGCGCAGTATGTAACCCATGAGGATGAATGAGATTCCCTGTCCATCATAGCGGCTGCAGGCTAAACCTGAGGGCTGTAACTTATCCTAGTTCTGCATTGGTCCTGCTATGCTTGTTTAACAACCCGGTCTTTCACTCGTTTTGTCTCCATAATGAACACAGAGCCCTGGCTCATGTGTTGGATGTGGATTGTGGATATTTGTAACCCCGCCCCTGTTGTTGTTCTCCTGCTGATAGGTCAGTACTATAACTATGACAGCAGTGGGCGGGACCTCTCCAACAGCGTGATGTCAGACCAGTGTGCCGGTCAGTGGTTCCTACGGGCGTCCGGCCTTGGTGAAGGGGAGTACCAGGTCAGTCCCTTTGAGTGTGCCCTCTGCGTCACTCAGTGAGTGTGGTGGATACCCCCTCCCCTGCCTCACCCCCTCTCCCACCCCCCACAGGCCTTCCCGGTAGAGAAGGTGCATCGCGCCCTGAAGTCCGTCTTTGACCTGAACGTGTTGCGCTTTGCCGGGGGCCGGATGGGGGCTGTTAATGGCATGCGTCCGGAAGGCGTTCCTGACCGCTCCAGCGTCCAGTCGGATGAGGTGTGGGTGGGTGTGGTCTACGGACTTGCTGCTACCATGATTCATGAGGTGAGTGAGTTGGTGTTTTGTCACGTTTGATTGCATTTACATCTCAGGTCCACAGTAAATAATAAGTGCTGATAGAAAGACGCCTGAAAGCAGGAGTAATAAAACGTTATCGGATGTGTGGCTTAGTGTAACAGGTGCAGGAGAATGGGCAGCACTGCCAGCCTAATGACCCACTCAGGGTTCGTACAGTCACGAAAATCCTGGGAAAATCATGGAATTAAGAAATCACATTTTCCAGACCTGGAAGAGTTATGGAAAATAAAAAATATCAAAGTTTTGGGAAAGTCATGGGGTTTTAGAGAACTACATTTTTTGAAGTATAACACTGTCTCTCCCGAGCAGTATCTTGATTATACTGTCGTGAGTATGGAAGGCCGTGAGTATGGAAGGCCGTGAGTATGGAAGGCCGTGAGTATGGAAGGCCGTTGGGGCAGAAAATGAGAGAGAATGCATCTCAACACTGCATTTTTTCCCTATAGACACGATATTTTTCTTCTTTAAAGAGACGGCACTTTCCTAAGGAGCACTGGCATTAAAATACACGTTTAAAAAACAGTGGTGACGTACATTTTTATACTGCATCAACACAGTACAAATGTGTGATTTGTAAAAGGTCTTTCAGTACTGAGATATACTTAGGCCAATACTTTTCCATTCAAGGACAATGGGTTCAGTCTGTAATCCATTATTAGTTGCTGTATCATGTCTCTTATGTTCTTATTCTTATTATCATATGATGTACACTGTATGTGTATAATATAATAAAGGGAGAAGATATCCTGATCAGGATAAGTGGTTAGAAGGTGGATGGATAGACTCATGGAATATAGAATAAACGGGGGGGTGTCTGTGTGCCCATTGTCCACCCAGGGAATGGTACAGGAGGGACTCTGCACTGCGGAAGGCTGCTACCGCACGGTGTGGGAGCAGCTGGGCATGGCCTTCCAGACCCCGGAGGCCTACTGCGAGAAGGCCATCTTCCGCTCGCTGGCCTACATGCGCCCCCTCAGCATCTGGGCCATGCAGCTGGCTCTGGAGCAGCGCCGGCAGGAGGGTGACGGGGAGGCCGGTCAGCTCGCTGCGGGCGGTGGAAGCAGCTGAGATCGTATGGGGGGCCATACGGGGAGCCCTGCAGAAATGTCAGAGGACATCACTGTAACTCTGTGAGCTTGGAGTAACTCTGTGAGCTTGGAGAGTCAGACTGTCAAAATCACGTAAACTCAGATTCCTATGAAAACCAGACAGGTTAAGAAGATGATTGGCTGAGTCTAGATTGCCTGATTTATTACTCTGACTGTTATTATTATTACACTTGAATGCTGTAAAGATGCTTAAATGATTTTACAAATGGCATGTATGACACTTTATCACTAATCAAATGCAGGAGTCTTTTATTGCTGTAATATTTAATGTAGCAACGTTCATGACATTAAGGAAGGAAAAATCAAAATAAAAATTGAGAATTTAAGGTGCTGCGTATTTAAGCATGGGTCAGGGTTGCTGAGAGAAACACAGCCCCTGTCACAATGTATGAGACCAAAGGGAATCTTTAAGCTTTTCTCAGCAAAATCGTTATAGTAATGGATGCCTGGCCTGCCTTTATTAAAAAAAAACAAACAAATGAGTTATGCCAAAAATACAATGAGGAGGAAGGAGATGTTTTGGTAGAAAGGCTGTGATTAGTGTTACCGGGTCTTTTTGCAGAGCACTGAGGTGTTGCAGGTCAGTATTAGCAGATCCCCAGGCCGCTATACACCTTTCACAGAACAAATTCTCAACGTTTATCTTTGTTAGAATTCTATACTGTCCCAAGTGATCTGCAAAAAAGCATCTCAATAGGAAAAAGTATATTTGATAGATTTTTTTTTTTTTTAGTACACCGTATGCTCAAGCATTCTTAGCTGTAAATGCGGATTCGGAGATGGGTGTGAGCATCTGTGAAGGAATATTCCAGAGTAAAAAATGATCAAAATTGATCTTGTAGGGATTAAATTTGTATTTGCATGTGTTTATGTAACTGTGAGGTTCTGAAAAATATAGAAAGTAATAAATTATGTATAATGACATCACTCCACTATCATGTAGTGTTTCTAATATAAGATAGCAAGCATTCTGATTTTACCGATACCATTTACTATTACAGCAACAACTTCAATGATTGCAAATATCTAACTGATTATAAAGCATGATGTAACAGTACCATCTTGTGGCTGCTACTACCCTATGACAAATCTACAGGGTAATGGTGGCATCTGGAAAACAGGTGAGTCGCTCTTGCTGCCAGACGGGCTTCACCTACTGTGCACTTTGTCAACACATAATCATAACCTCATAAATGGATACTTCATGAGGTCAAATGTCATCTACAGTCACCCTTTGGTGCCGGTACATAGTATTGTTGGATTTTGAGGTAATTTGTCTCAATATTTGATCAGCTCCAGTAATCCACCCATATACTGCCTCTGCAAAGTTTGAAAAAGATCCATTAAATACTTTGTAAGTTATCTTACAGGCATATAATATCAGGCATATATACCCTTTTCTTTGCTCATACTATGTGGTACTGCTTCAGTTTTAGTGCAATGTCTCAAAATCTGACCAGTTCCAGTTCCAGTGTGTCACCCTGGGAATGAGTCTGCAAAGTTAGAGAAATATCTGTGATATACAGTAGGTATAAAAAATGTACACACCCTGTTTAAAATGCCAGGTTTTTGTGATGTAAATAAATGAAACCACAATAAATCATTTCAAAACTTTTCCCACCTTTAATGTAACCTATTACCTGTACAAAAACAAACATCTGTTAGGGGAAAAACATAAATATGTGCACACCCTTAAAGTAATACTTTGTTGAAGCACCTTTTGATTTAATTACAGCATTAAGTCTTTTTGGGTAGGAGAATATTAGCATGTTACCTCTTGACTTGGTGATACTGGCCCACTCTTCCTTGCAAAAGTGCTCCGAATCTGTCAGATTGTGAGGGCATCTCTTGTGCACAGCCCTCTTCAGGTCACCCCACTGATTTTCAATTGGATTTAGGTCTGGGCTCTGGCTGGGCCATTCCAAAGCATATTTTGATGCATAAGTATATTTATAGGTGTGTGGATATATCTGTTTAAACTTTTGTTTCTTTTCTCTCTGTCAGTGTTTCGCATCGCTGTGTGTCTGTGTACTCTACGATGGACTGGTATCCTGCCCAGGTTGAACCCCAGGAGAGCCTCCCCAGACTACACTGTTAATGGATGGGTCCTATTTCTTTTCTACATTGTAGTGAATTAAACACAAACACCTTAGAACTTTGCCCATTAATACAAGATGAATGCTTATAGAGTTTCTTCTTTTTAGTTTTGTGTTAGACTAAGCAGTTTATGCCTGTAAGTACTGTAGATACAAGGGTTTTGTTCAAGTCTGAGACCAGACCAAGTCCAGCAGGGGATTGAGCCTGAGACAAGACCGAGTTTATTACTGAGTTCTAGACTATGAATCTGATTTCAAAACCATACATCAAAAACTAAACATAAATCAAATTTTTTGATTTTATTTAAAATAAATATTTAGATTTTTTTTTTATTATTTCAACTAAGACAGGGTCAAAGTTTACTCGTCTGTTTTGAGCTGTATGTATGTTCGTCTCTTGTTGCTGTATGCACCAGAATTTACCCCTGGGATGAATAAAGTTAATCTTATCCTTAATTAAGATTGGGACTCTCCACACTTCACAGTGAAAAACTGCTGGTTTGATCCCACTCCCATCAGATCAGTCACACCACCATTAAGTCATTGAAGGGGAGAGCGGGGAAAACTGTTGAACATGGTCAAGGGGAGGAACCCCTGTGATATGGAAGTGTTGAGAGTCACAATGTGAAAACGTGTGATGTAAGAAAGATTATTTAAAATTTAAATAAATTATTTAAGAATAATAAAGATTTCATCATTTACAATAGAACTAACACTGTTCAGCGTGCAGTTTCACTACTTAGTAAAAGTATGATAAAATGAGTTTGTGTGATATAAGACTACAATCGTTATGTTTCGTCCTCACAATGAGCAGCAAATAGGGAGGCAATGTATGTGACTTATTTCCGTTAGACATTATTCCAGCAGCCTAGCTTCCGGTTTGTTGGGTCAGTAGCTAGACTGAGGGGGGACATGATCCAGGTCTATAAGATTCTAACAGGTTTGGATGCTGTTCAACCAAATAGTTACTTCAGCATTAGTTCAAATACAAGAACTCGTGGCCATAGGTGGAAATTAGCGGGAGAACAT